TTATGAAAAGATAGAGAATCTTTTCCCAATCATAATGACACCAAAAGTTTGAAATTTGATGGAAAACTTACGGAATTATACTCTTGCAAAGTTAGCGGTCTTGGCGATGTTTACGCATCGGCGATTTTGCCCACTTTGATCCCCATTTTCGGCCAATTCCACTGTACTAGTTGACAAAAAACATGAATATTTTGCTAGAACTCTATTTTTTCTATCGAATGAGTGTAAGAAACCACCCATTTATCAATTTCAACTATCCAGTACAGTGGTCAGAATTTAGCAATTTTTGCCAATTTCACACAAATTTCAAAAGATGCCAATCTCCGAATAGGGTCCAGAATAAACAAGAAAGACATTCCTGGCACTAAAATGACATTTCCTCTGTTCATTAGTCACGTCTCAAGGCCCCTCTTACATTCTTTTGCTTTCCACTTTGAATTTTTATTCTCACAAAAAAATAGAAGATTTACTGTTATGCAGACTACTGCATTAGTGTAAAAAATGGTATAAATAATATTGGAGCACTTGCGAAAGAATATCAGACTCACCAGTTGACGTGTATTGGACGCTTGGCATGATTTGTTTACTTTTGAACTTTGGTAAAAATCGAACATTTCTGCTAATTTGAGCTCAATTTCAAGGTACTTTTCATTGTTAAATCAGTCAAAATCATCTCAATTTCTGTAATATGTCTTCCATTCTATAAAATGAGACCAAGAAAACTAGAATACAACAATAAATACCATACGAGAATACAGTGCAAAGTCGCTGTTTTATTCCAAAAAAACGGTCAAAGTTTTTTTTTTCTTATTACGCACTGTGTGCTGCAGGATTTTTTTTATACTGTGCACACTGACCACATAGACGCATTCTTTCATATGTAGGCCTACCAGCTTTCTCTCACTAGATTTGAGGGCGCTAGAATTTAGGTGTACTAGTACGTCAAAAACCCTGGGTCGTAAGCCGTACTAGTACGGTTGAAACCCTCAAAGGGTTAATAATGAAGGTAGACCTATGACCAGTTGAGTATTCTTAATAATGAAGGTAGACATGTGACTTGTTGAGTGTTCTTAATAATGAAGGTGGACCTGTGACCTGTTGTATGTTTTTAATAATGAAGGTAGACCTGTGACCAGTTGAGTGTTCTTAACAATGAAGGTAGACCTGTGACCAGTTGAGTGTTCTTATTAATGAAGGTAGACCTGTGACCAGATGAGTGTTCTTAATAATGAAGGTAGACCTGTGACCTGTTGAATGTTCTTAATAATGAAGGTAGACCTGTGACCAGTTGAGTGTTCTTAATAATGAAGGTAGACCTGTGACCTGTTGAATGTTCTTAATAATGAAGGTAGACCTGTGACCAGTTGAGTGTTCTTAATAATGAAGGTAGACCTGTGACCTGTTGAATGTTCTTAATAATGAAGGTAGACCTGTGACCAGTTGAGTGTTCTTAATAATGAAGGTAGACCTGTGACCTGTTGAATGTTCTTAATAATGAAGGTAGACCTGTGACCTGTTGAATGTTCTTAATAATGAAGGTAGACCTGTGACCTGTTGAATGTTCTTAATAATGAAGGTAGACCTGTGACCTGTTGAATGTTCTTAATAATGAAGGTAGACCTGTGACCAGTTGAATGTTCTTAATAATGAAGGTAGACCTGTGACCAGTTGAATGTTCTTAATAATGAAGGTAGACCTGTGACCTGTTGAATGTTCTTAATAATGAAGGTAGACCTGTGACCAGTTGAATGTTCTTAATAATGAAGGTAGACTTGTGACCAGTTGAATGTTCTTAATAAAGTTGAAGGTGTTAATGTTTGTGATGGTCAGTAGTGGTGGTGGTGGTGATGATGGTGAGTAGTGGTGATAGTAGTGGTGGTGGTGATGGTGATGATGGTGAGTAGTGGTGATAGTAGTGGTGGTGGTGGTGATGATGGTGAGTAGTGGTGATAGTAGTGGTGGTGGTGGTGATGATGGTGAGTAGTGGTGATAGTAGTGGTGGTGGTGATGATGGTGAGTAGTGGTGATAGTAGTGGTGGTGGTTGATGATGGTGAGTAGTGGTGATAGTAGTGGTGGTGGTGGTGATGATGGTGAGTAGTGGTGATAGTAGTGGTGGTGGTGGTGATGATGGTGAGTAGTGGTGATAGTAGTGGTGGTGGTGGTGATGATGGTGAGTAGTGGTGATAGTAGTGGTGGTGGTGGTGATGATGGTGAGTAGTGGTGATAGTAGTGGTGGTGGTGATGATGGTGAGTAGTGGTGATAGTAGTGGTGGTGGTGGTGGTGATGATGGTGAGTAGTGGTGATAGTAGTGGTGGTGGTGATGATGGTGAGTAGTGGTGATAGTAGTAGTGGTGGTGGTGGTGGTGATGATGGTGAGTAGTGGTGATAGTAGTGGTGGTGGTGATGATGGTGAGTAGTGGTGATAGTAGTGGTGGTGGTGGTGATGATGGTGAGTAGTGGTGATAGTAGTGGTGGTGGTGGTGATGATGGTGAGTAGTGGTGATAGTAGTGGTGGTGGTGATGATGGTGAGTAGTGGTGATAGTAGTGGTGGTGGTGGTGATGATGGTGAGTAGTGGTGATAGTAGGTGGTGTGGTGATTGATGGTGGAGTGTGGTGATAGTAGTGGTGGTGGTGGTGATGATGGTGAGTAGTGGTGATAGTATGTGGTGGTGGTGGTGTGATGGTGAGTGAGTAGTGGTGATAGTAGTGGTGGTGGTGATGGAGAACAGTGGTGATGGTGAGTGGTGGTGGTTGTGATGGATAGTGGTGATAGTGAGTAGTGGTGATGGTGATGGAGAGTAGTGGTGATGGAGAGTAGCAATGATTGTGAGTAGTGGTGGTGGTGGAAAGTAGTGGTGGTGATTAGTGGTGATAGTGAGTAGTGGTGGTGGTGGTGGAGAGTAGTGGCAGTGAGTTGTGGTGATGGTGAGTAGTGATGGTGATGATGGAGAGTTGTGGTGATGGTGAGTAGTGGTGGTGTTGATGATGAGTAGTTAGTGGTGGTGATGGAGAGCTGTGGTGATGGTGAGTAGTGGTGGTGGTGATTGAGAGTAGTGGTGGTGATGATAGAAAGTAGTGGTGGTAGTGATGGTAAGTAGTGGTGGTGGTGATGGAGAGTTGTGGTGATAGTGAGTAGTGGTGGTGGTGATGGAGAACGTGGTGATGGTGATGGAGAGTAGTGATGATGGATATTAGTGGTGGTGGTGGAGAGTAGTGGTGGTTGTGATGGAGAATAGTGGTGGTGTGATGACGTGGTGGTTGATGGAAAGTAGCATTGGTGGTGATGGAGAGCGTGGTGGTGGTGTGGAGAGTAGTGGGGTAGTAGGGAGAGCAGTGGTGGTGGTGGTGAGGGAAGTAGTGGTGATGGTGATGAAGAGTAGTGGTGAAGATGGTGATGGAGAGTAGTGGTGGTGGTGATGATGGAAGTAGTGGTGGTGGTGATTGAGAGCAGTGGTGGTGGTTAGGGATGGTAGTAGTGGTGGTGGTGAGGGAGAGTCGTGGGTGGTGGTGAAGGAGAGTAGTGGTGGTGGTTAGGGAGAGTAGTGGGTGGTGGTGAGGGTGAGTAGTGGTGGTGGTTAGGGAGAGTAGTGGTGGTGGTGAGGGACAGTAGGTGGTGGTGGTATGAGGGACAGTAGTGGTGTGTGAGGGTGAGTAGTGGTGATGGTTAGGGAGAGTAGTGGTGGTGGTGAGGACAGTAGTGGTGGTGGTGAGGGACAGTAGTGGTGGTGTGAGGACAGTAGTGGTGGTGGTGAGGGTGAGTAGTGGTGGTGGTTAGGGAGAGTAGTGGTGGTGGCGAGGTCAGTAGTGGTGGTGGTGAAGGTGAGTAGTGGTGATGGAGAGTAGTGGTGGTGTGTGGTGAGGGTGAGCAGTGGTGATGGAGAGTAGTGGTGGTGAAGAACAATGATGGTGATGGATAGTGGTGGTGATGATTAGTTGTGGTGATGGTGAGTAGTGGTGGTGAAGAATAATGATGGTGATGGATAGTAGTGGTGGTGGTAGTAGTGGTGGTGGTAAGTAGTGGTGGTGAAGAATAATGATGGTGAAGAACAATGATGGTGATGGAGAATAGTGGTGGTGAAGAACAATGATGGTGATGGATAGTAGTGGTGGTGATGGAGGGTAGTGGTGGTGAAGAATAATGATGGTGATGGAGAATAGTGGTGGTGGTGAGGAAGAGTAGTGGTGGTGGAGATGGAGAGTAGTGATGGTGGAGAGAAGTGGTGATGATGGAGAGTAGTGGTGGTGATGGAAAGTAGTAATGGTGATGATGGAAAGTAGTGGTGGTGATGATGGGAAGTATTGGTGGTGGTGGATAGTGGTGGTGGTGGAGAGTAGCAGTGGTGATGGAGAATAATGGTGGTAGTGGATAGTAGTGGTGGTGATGGAGAGTGATGGTGGTAATATGATAGTGGTGGTGATGGAGAGTAGTGGTGGCAGTGGATAGTAGTAGTATGGTAGAGATGGAGAATGGTAGTGGTTGTGTAGAGTAGTGGTGGTGGTGGAGAGTAGTAGTGGTGGAGATGGAGAGTGGTGGTGATGGAGAGTAGTGGTGGCAATGATGTAAAGTATTGGTGGTGGTGGAGATTAATGTGGAGTGATGGGGTAGAAGTGGTGGTGATGGAGAGTAGTGGTGGTTGATGATGGGTAGTAGTGATTATGATGGGAGGTGGTGGTTGGTTGGTGTGGGAGTGTGGTGGTATATGATGGAGAGTAGTGGTGGTAATGATGCAGAGTACTGGTGATGGAGAGTAGTGGTGGTGGTGGAGAGTAGTGGTGGTAGCAAGCAGTAGTGGTGTGGTGGATAGTAGTCTTGGTGGTTAGTTTAGTGGGGGTGGTGGTGGAGAGTAGTGAGGGAGTGTGAGAGTGCTGGTGCAGCAGTTTACAGTACCCTGGTGAGTAGGGGTGGTGGTGGAGAGTAGTGGTGTTGGTTGTAGTGGTAGTAGTGGTTGAGAGTAGTGAGGGGAGCGTGAGAGTGCTGGTGCAGCAGTTTACAGTACCCTGGTGAGTAGGGGTGGTGGTGGAGAGCAGGTGTGAGAGTAGAGGCAGGTGAGTTGTCAGGCACATAAGTGTACCTCCTCAGATCTTCCGAGGATGCTGCCAGGTTGACCAACTGCGAGGGTGGTGCAACGCCCAGTCCTGCCAGGTTATTGCTGCCAGGTACCAGACTGGTGGGTGGTACCATCGCTGGTCCTGGTGCTAGTCGCAGTGAACGTGGAGTTGGTGGAGAACCTTCGCCTCGCATCCCCAGTGATACCTGGCTATCTTCGCGTCCGTCCACTCGATTCATGTTGCTTAAGTTACCCTGTAACCAGATGTAATTGCTTTTATTAAAGTTATTATACAGTTGCAGCAGCTGCACTTAACAATGTTTTAATAAGTCCAGAGCTATCATCTTTATTAGTAAGCTTTGCAAGATTACCATCAACACTGCATCTTCATATACAACTTTGTATACATATGAACTACTTATCAAATATAATAGATTTAATAATAAATGGAATCACAAAGAGTGAAAATGGCTTTGATAATTAATAAGATAACAGGACATGATAACCATTACCAGGAAAAATAAAAAGCCACAAATGAATTCTGAGGAAAACTCAGGAGTTAAAGAATACTAGAAAAATGTTCATCCTAAGTACACTAGTGAAGCAAAGTAATGAGCTCTGAGAGTGAAGGAGAGTGTGCTGTAACAACTAACATAATTAAACTAATTGTATGACAAAAATAAATACTAAAAATAAAACAGCCAAGAGCAGTGCTCTCTGACAGTCAGTCTCAGTCTCTCTCTCTCACTCTCTCTCACTCTCTTTCTCTCACTCTCTCTCTCTCTCTCTCTCTCACACACACACAGTCTACCTTAAAAGCAGGTAGATATAACAAAAAAAAAGCCTTAAGTCTAAATAAAATAAATTCCAGAGTTAATATATATATATGAATTCTGATGTAATAATAATAAGAATCAATTAATGATACTACTAATAACATGGTAATTCCTGAATATTGTAGCATCGTATTTTGCAGAAAATTAGGTGCACTAAGAGGATATGTTAAGTATTTTGTTTGCTCCCTTTTGTAGATAAAGTTAATAATTATGCAGCACATTTAAACCTTTGAGGGTCCAAGCTGTAGATCTACTACTTGTCCACACGCTCCAAGAATTTAAAAACAAAAACAAAAAAAAATTTTTTTATTTTTTATGAAATGGTAAAGAATCTTTTTCTGAAGGTAATAAAACAAAAAGTACGAAATTTGGTGGAAAATTGACAAAATTACACTATCACAAATTTTACTGTGTCAGAGAAATTTACACATTGATGATTTAGGCCAATTAAATTATTCCAGTCAACCAAATTCTTAGCTATTTCACTAGCATTACTTCTATTTTATTGATTGAGCACAAGAAACTGCCCAATCAACTATTTCAACTACACAATAAAGTGATCAGAAATTGGTAATTTGGCCAATTTCACACAAAGTTCAAAATATTCCGATTTCAACACAAGGTCCAGAATAAACAATACAGGTATTCCTGGCACTAAAATAACATTTCCTCTGTTTATTAGTCACGTTTCCAGGCTTTACAGATGAATTCCATTTCGATTTTTTATTTACATAAAAATTTGTTATTCACACCAAAAAATAGAATTACTCTTATGCTATATTGCAATAATTGTATAAACAATATCAGTGCATTTGTAAATGTATATTAGATCCATCAGTTGACATGTATTGGATGAGTGATGTGATTTGTTTACTCTTAAACATCAGCAAAAATCAAACATTTACTGCTGCTTTAAGCTCAATTTCAAGCTATTTTGAGTACTAAAACCAATCAAAATCATCTCTATTTCTGTAACATATCTTCCATTCTATCAAATGAGACCAAGAAACCGTGAATACAACCATAAAAATAATACGAAAGTACACCGCAAACTTGCTGTTTTAATCCAAAAACATGGTCGCAGTTTTTTTCTCATTATGCACTGCATCCTTCAGGATTTGCTTTATATGATGCACATTTACCATAAAGACACATTCTCTCATATTCAGGCCCAAATTTACCAATCACAGTTTATCTGAGTGAGCTGAGCTCATGGCGCAGAACTACAGCTTGGACCCTGTGGATATGGTGTGAACAAGGCGCAGATCTACGGATTGGACCCTTAAAGGGTTAAACAAACTAAAACTAAATAATAAAGTTCTAATGCTAAATGATCTTTTAATAATGAGTTTAAGAGAGTATAATATAGTTTGAGTGATGGGAGCTCTGAGGGCACAACTGGTTTATGTCAGTGTATCTCATCACTCCAATACTCACTTCTCTGAGCTTCAGGAAAACCCAGTGTGTGCTTTGCACTCAGTGTTGTGCCCAGCATGAGCTGGGGCCAGTCATTACTCTTCATGCTTGTTTCAATAACTCCTCTCTCTCTCTCTCTGCCCCTTTCCCTCTCTCTCTCTTTTTATTATTTACACAATGGTTTCAGAGGGTTGGGTTATGAGTTCCTACCCTTATTTACAAGCTAAGAGCTGTTACTTACCTCAGCTCATCTGAAAGCATTTTCACTGCAGATAGGGAATAGAATGAATTTAAAGCCATCTATGGGCCAGCGATTTCATTTGGTGAAATGACTATATTTCATCGTTGTCATTATGCTGTGCAAAAATGTTCCAGACTCATGTCATTCTAGGAATAAATGATCTCAAATGAAGTGATGTTCCTGAGAAGGGTACAGTCAGAGTGCAGTTGCTGTTTGCTGCCCATCTTGCTGTGTAGAAGTTCTCTTCTCGCTGGCCATGAAATGGAGTCATGTGTGGTACCTTAACAACAATGGCCTTGTATATAACAGTAAGGCCACCTACATCCCTCCAGTGTTAAAGGTTCTGCTGAAACAACAGATCTGTCCAAGTTGGATCCAGATGAGAGATGAGTTGGCTTGCTCTGTTCTCTATTCTGTCATGAAGGTGTAGGTGAGACGGGGGGGGGAGGAAGGGCAGGCAATCCTAGAAAGTGTAGCATATTTAAGGTGTGAGAACACTATGCCTCACAGTCTTGCAACCTCTACTGTCAAGAAGATGTGAGATATATTTCAATGCTGTTATCTTCCTGGTCACCATATTTGCAAGATTTACTAAGTACGTAGTTCTTTTGAGTCAGTTTGGAATTAAATTTTACCCCAAGGTTCAAACACTCTTCCATTCATTCTAACCACTGCTCCAACATTATCACTATGGTACCTAGTGGTCATCATCATTTGTGTTTTCTCAAAAGCAAATGTAACATGCCATTGTTTTCCCCAGGCTGATATACAGTAGGGCCCCACTTATATGACAGGTTAGGTTCCAGGCTATTGCAATAAAGTGGAACACCTTTTTTTTTTCCACTTATGATGCATATAAATGTTATATAACAGGTTTACACTAACATATTAAGTTAGCAATAGAACTAGGCATTAAAAAACACAATAAAAAGTAAAATGCACACACAGTACACTTGTTACTTACCCTAAAAATATTAATATGAATGTGCGAGAGGTGAGTGGCAGTGTATAAGTTTTTCCATGTCAGCAATAAGTCACTTTGTCTGACATTTTTGAGTTATCCTAGGCTCTCTACACATATGCTGCTGTATGTAACTGTATTTGATGGCTATCTCAGCCATTGACATGCCTTGTTAGTAAGTGTATTCAGGTATACATAAATATGGTTACATAGATTATCATACATATGTGTAGAGTCTAGGATAATCCAAAAAAGTCAGTTCACTAAGTTTAATCATTTCCAACTTGGCACTTAAAATAAGAGGCTTACAACTCTTCTTTTTATCACAACTAAGCTTAGATGCCATCGTCAACAAGAGCCAACTAGCTAACGAAATAGTAAATAAGAGAGAACGAGATACATGGAGTTCAATGTAAAAACACAAACTGAACAGGTGGCGGGTCATCACTCGATCAGGGGAAATAAACACGTATTAATACATGTTCAATTTTAGTTCATTCACATACGTTTGTAAGAGTTTGTGAAACTTTTACCTCACAATATTTTTTTTATTATAGTAATAATTACCTCACAATACAAATACTCTTACATTGTGTACAAGTTAGTACGTAAGAAAAAATAAACAGCAACACTCCCATTCTCATGCAACACACCATTCTGAGTGAATGATGATATTATTATTATTATTATTATTATTATTATTATTATTATTATATTGCATGTATTGTTATTATTATTATCATCATAATAAAATACAGTGGACCCCCGCATACCGTTGGCATCACATAACGTTAAATCCGCATACCGCTACATTTTATCGCCAAGATTTTGCCTCGCATACCGCTAAAAAACCCGCTCAACGCTGTTCATCTGAGACGCGTCTAATGTGCGCCCTTAGCCAGCCTCACATGTTCTGCCGGTGGCATTGTTTACCAGCCAGCCTCCGCGGTAACATCCAAGCATACAATCGGAACATTTCGTATTATTACAGTGTTTCTGGTGATTTTATCTGCAAAATAAGTGACCATAGGCCCCAAGAAAGCTTCTAGTGCCAACCCTACAGGAATAAGGGTGAGAATTACTATAAAGATGAAGAAAGAGATCTTTGATAAGTATGAAAGTGGAGTGCGTGTCTCCGAGCTGGCCAGGTTGTATAGTAAACCCCAATCAACCATCGCTACTATTGTGGGCAACAAAAAGGCAATCAAGGAAGCTGTTCTTGCCAAAGGTTTAACTGTGTTTTCGAAACAGAGATCACAAGTGATGGAAGATGTTGAGAGACTCTTATTGGTGTGGATAAATGAGAAACAGATAGCAGGAGATAGCATCTCTCAAGTGATCATAAGTGAAAAGGCTAGGAAGTTGCATGAGGATTTAATTAAAAAAATGCCTGCAACTAGTGATGATGTGAGTGAATTTAAGGCCAGCAAAGGTTGGTTTGAGAGATTTAAGAGGCGTAGTGGCATACATAGTGTGATAAGGCATGGTGAGGCTGCCAGTTCGGACCACAAAGCAGCTGAAAAATATGTGCAGGAATTCAAGGAGTACATAGAAACTGAAGGACTGAAACCTGAACAAGTGTTTAATTGTGATGAAACAGGCCTGTTTTGGAAGAAAATGCCAAGCAGGACCTACATTACTCAGGAGGAAAAGGCACTCCCAGGACATAAGCCTATGAAAGACAGGCTTACTCTGTTGATGTGTTCCAATGCTACTGGTGATTGCAAAGTGAAGCCTTTATTAGTGTATCACTCTGAAACTCTCAGACCGTTCAGGCAAAAGAATGTCCTCAAGGAAAAT